AAGTGTGGTCCCGTGAACTGAATGCTCAATGGCAGCTGGAAAGCATTAGGTGGTCCCTTAGAGTATGTCTTCTGGCTTGGTTTCTTCCATGAGAAATCCTGATTGCACGGTCCAACTCCATTCTGCTGTGTGAACCAAAGAAGACTAGCAGGAGAAGACCCAGAGATTCATTCCAGCCACTTGACTGATCCAAGCTAAAATATTTAATGCAGCTGTGCCCTTACAGTACACATTCTTAAGCAGAGGAGCAAAGCCTCAATCAAGGCAAGCTAAATAAGTTTAGCTGTAAACTGGAGAGTTTTGGCTCTAGGCTCACCGTTGAGCATATTGATATCTAAATGCCCTTAGTACATGTCTTGTTTCTGAAATACAAATTTGAAACTTTGGGCCTTAGCTGCATATGCATTTAAATAGAAGTTACTAAGCACCATTGCTTCATGCTGGCTTCAATAGGATGTGAAAGCTATGTTGCTACAGCTTAGATACCCCCAAAATGGGAATAGGAAGCAAAACTCAAATTCCCCACTCCAAAAAATTTTTAATTCAAGGTCTAGAAACTCCTTGTGATATTAAAACTCCTATTACATGTTCTTTGTTAAATTTTGTCACTGTTCTGCAATGGATTATAATACATGGGACTTCCTACCAAGGTTATAGAAGCTTTTGTCAAAATAATATTTTTTTAAAAATAGCTTTTTTCTTGCCAGTAGTAGCTCAGAGGCAATATAAAAACAGAAACTAAACTTCGTGTTATTTTCTACAGCTATCTCTCCAATCCCAGGGAGAAAAGCAACCAACCAACCAAGCAAACCAAACCAAAAAAAACTAAACCAAACCAAACAAAAAAAAAAAAAGTTGAACAAATTTGTTTTGAATTAGCAGTGTGTGTTGATACTAATATTGCAAAGTCATGATTTCAGAGTAAACTGAGCTCTACAGAAAGCTGACACACAGAAGGAAATAACAGAAGGAAATAACTTTGTATTATTTTCAGGCATAAAAAGAAAGTTATCATATGCCAGTGCAACGGAAGACTGGAGGAGATACTATACCCACTATAGCTATGATGTATGGGATCTGATCTTACTTTTAAAGATACTGATACATTCAAGTCAATATTTCATACACATTCCAATAGTCAGAAGGTTGTGTGTAACACTATTTTATTGCAGATCAATGCAGAATAATACAGGTATTCACTCATTCAGTATGAAATAATTTTACAAGAAGTAGTAAAGCAGCTTTTTCAATATCCTATTGTCGCATTTTCAGACTTTACTAAGTGAGTAAATCACAGCTGCCATGATGAAATGCATAAGGAATAAGCAGATGAAAAGCAGTTTCCATAAAAACCTGCGGAAAGAATGGTTCTGATGGGGTGTACGTACTGTCTGTACAGCTCCATCCAGCTTTGCATTCTGCCACTGCTGCTGTGCAGTGAATGAAGTCTTGTGGATGCATAGTCATGAGCCCAGCTTCCACAATGTGTGCCCCTACAAGGAATACAATGGTCACACAGCCTTCTCCACACTTCTCTCTTGCACACACATGTGATGGCATTTGCTTCCACTTTTAAGATACTGCCTGCATACTTGCTTTGTTTTAACACGGGCACACACTGCTCTTTCCTCCTGAGGTCAGGGGATCCGAGAGCTGGCATAAATAGATTTGTTGAGATGAGCCAGGTCTTCCTTATATGTCAGAGAGCAGCGCCATGGCATGTTCCTGACACTAGCAATTTTGCAAAGGTTTTCTCCTGACAGAACACACATTAATGCAAACAGCCTCCACCTATAACTAAAACTCCACCAGTGTGCAGAAATCTAAGCTCTTTCCCTGAGCATCCACAGCTATAAACACTGTTTATATCATCCAGCATATGCATAGATTTTATGCAAACTTCATTTTGTGCAGTAGTTTGCCTTCCTCTTCATAATATTCCCTTTATTATCTTCCTTTTTGTATTTTCTACTCCACAGGAAAAGAAGAAGCATTGTTTACAACAACTGCATGCCAGTATTCATACATATATCCTGATAAGATAATAATGCAGTTAATATAGCACAAAGTAAAACTGTCAGGCATCTGAAGAGATAACTATCTATAACCACAAAGAGAGAAAGGTAAAGAGATGCACAGAAATGTAACAGGAAGAAAACACCATTAAGAGAAGGAAACCACATATGAAGGGAAATTCCTGTCAGTTGTTACAATTAGGTGGTGAAATGGATACACAGAAAAAATGCAAAGTTATTGTTAAAAAAAATTGAAATTAAACTTTATGCACCACTTCGTTAAAAATGTACCTAGAAACACAGTTAGCATAACACCAATGCTATGATGACAGTATTGAAATACACATTTTATCACCTAGTAGCACAGAAGTGAAGAGCCTGATGGAAAGCAAAGCCAGAAGCACCATCAATCTGTAACTCCATGTCCTGCACCTTGTGCCACGTCCCTCAGCTGATCATGTCCTATAGAACCACCTTTCTTACTAACATCTATTAACTTCAGTCTCCTCCCCAGAGCCCCCTGACACGGCCACAATGGCACAGCACAAGCCAGCCTGTGCAGACCATGCAACACAGCTGGGAGGGGAGGGAAGGGGGGCACCTTGGCGGAGCTCCCAGTGGCTCTGGAAACCCACAGTGCCTCACTCCTGGGTACTTCTGTTTTCTGGGAAGGCAAAGTACTCGGGGCACATTGCTCACAGACACAAGAGACCAGTGTTGCAACCTCCAGACCTCCCAGGTACTTGACAAAACATCCTGCACATCTGAGGAGCCAACCATCTCCCAACCAGCTGTCCCCACTACAGTCAATAATACCCAAGCCTACTCTCTATCTTTAACAAATGTATACTTGCTCTTTGTACAGTTATATATTTGAGCATGTAAAGATGTAGATACCAGCTGCTGAATTTTTGCTACATTAAGTAGTGTTGATCATTACAGATACTTGCAGCAGCACATAACTTGCACGTCAGAGCCGCCTTTGGTTGCAGCACTGTATTAATAACACTTGCAGGCTAACTTAATTTTGTACAATTTGCATTACAGTAATGCATTACAGTATTTGTAGTGATCAATAAGGGATTTCAGGAGAATTGCAGAGGTCACTAAAACTAAGGTCTAATTGTAGAGGTCACTAAGAAATCATGTACCTCTCATGGGGTACAGCTTATAGTTTTGCAAGGCTGAAGGAGAAGGTCACCCTTTTACGAGACTAGAGGGAACATCCTCACAAGAGTATTTTGGTGTTGCCCCACTAATTTAATTATTTGCTGCATAGTTAGTACATTCCTTCCATAAAAGCTGGGAAGCTAAACTTCCCACCAAGTACCACTATCGATGCCTACTGTCTCAGTCAACAGACCAGTTACACTTACTCTCTGCTACTGTTTAATGATTTATGTAATTGTATACATGCATGAGAACTTCCTTTAGTCTTCTCAGGCTCGTTTAAACCACTCAAGGCTGTAAAGTACTGCTTACACTTCACATGAAAGTTGAATTCAGGACAGTCCACTTTAATCTGTTCTTGGCTCTGAGTACTGATTAGGCCCCAAGCAAAGAGCAGAAATATGTTTCTTGGCTGTAAAATGAAGGAACCTGCATTTGCTGAGAGAAAAATATAAAAATGTCTAATAAAGCACCCACACTTGATATGTTCTGTGTATCAAGGCAACTGCCTTAAAGGCAGTTTCTGTTATCACAGCTGCCAGAGTTGTTTATTCTCTTGCTTCTCCATGTGACTTTTCTCAAAGTCCTAGACAGACACCAGTTGCTGAGTGTGGGTTAAGTAGAAAAACAGGCTGTGCAGAAACTCCTGTATCTTAAGTGCAAAAGCAAATACTTACAGAGGTCTTAAGGCCCCATATTGTTTACTTCTGTCTAAGCTCCGGTTATGCTGCCAGCCCACAGCCTCTCATGACACAGTAACAAAGGCCAAACTCTGCTAGATACCGCCTGTACAAGGAAGCATATTCCAGGAATGCTGGAGCTGAATTTGAACTTCCCTTATCAGGAACAATGAAACTGAGAGCAAGCAGCTTCCTTGCTCAAGTGGAAATGACCACTTTTCAGCAAGTGCTACTGTCAATCACTGCAAGCCAGCCCAGAGGAAATGCAATTGCGATAACTGAGTGGTTTTAGTGCCTATAAAGGAAGTGAGTAGTTTAGCTTTCTTGCTCTGTGGAGAGGGGATTATTACTGTGCCATTTTAATGTCAAGTCCTGGAGCACATGCATAGTTTGTGCACAAAAATGGGGTGATGTTTTCCCTTTTAACATAGGGCCAAATCAACCCACCCATATTAACTTTTCATGACAGAATCTCTAAAAAAAGGCCACACCATCCTTAAATTGTTTTGGACTTAATTTGGTGTTGTCATGCAATTAGGTTTTGCAAAATTGGCTTCTGGACTGACAGCTTCTATTGTTACAGCATATGGCAATCAGAGAGCAGCTTGTGGCAGATGTGATGTTTATTCACCATTTGCTAGTTTTAGATTTAATGATGTCATTCTAATCAAAGCAAATGTTAGATGTGTTTGACATGTAAGGAGTTTTGCAGCCCCCCCATCATGTTTAAGCCGCTTCTGTCAAGTGGAAACACGTCAACTTGAATGCATCTAAGTCATATTTAAGAGTCAATGATGCAATTTACTGGAGGTCTGTATTCCAAAAATCCATGTTTCTAACATGCATTGTGCTCCTCCAGCAGACTACAAAGACCTCCTATTACAATAAGTGAGCTCATTAGGCATGCGACTCCTTCGTCTTGCAAGCTGTTGCAATAAGCAGCTGTTGCAAGAGGGTAAAAGGTTGAATTATCAACTTGGACAGCACAGCACTTCATTCAGCCATCCCAGAAAAGTATTTGAGCAGTAACTCCATTACTGTGGAGTAGATCTTTGACTACAGCACACAAGCAAAACATCAGCGGTATTTCAGTGACATGCTTCCCCACACCCAGCAAGCAAGACACTCCCAGAAATTAATTGTCAAAAATTTATTATGAAAGCTTCAATAGCAGCAAATATTTCAATAAAAGTTATTGCAGTATTAAAACAGATCTGCAGAGTGACCCAAGAGGCCTGTTGAAGTCTGTCTGCTTTGGAATATCTGCATTTGTCTTAGTAACCAATCCCCAATACTCCATAAATATTGATACTTTCTCCTGTGTTTTGCAGACAGCACCAACAGTTCCTAGTTACAGTACTCTATCCAGTCCTTCTGGAAAGTTTTGGCCCGCTTCCCTCAACTTGCCCTCTCCTTTCTGAAACAGTTCCACATAGCCAAACTTGCAATACTTCTTTCAGTTCCATGGTATGTCAGCCTCTCCACGGTTGCAGCCTACTGAGGCTCACTGGTGAGATGAGCTGTTTTCCTCTTTCTCCTCTGTAAGAGCCCACTGCATGCCAGTCTGAGGGACTTTAATCCAGTCTCTTGACCAGGCTAATCCATGGAATCAGCAGCTTGTTGCACATTTTGGTGAACGCACAGCACGTTGAGAATGCAACAAAGGTTTCAGCCTCCTCAGTGCACCAGGTGACTATCACTCAGGCAGGGTGATAGTTGGCACCCAGTCATTGACATTCCTGCTCTCTTCGCAAAACAAGTTCAGCTTCTCCAGAGCTGGGTCCTTCCAGCCTTCTTCATTCGGGTTCTGCAAAAAAGAAAAAAGTACACCATGAGTGCTGCCCGCCAGCTGAGGTCATCATAATATTTACAGAAGCATTAGCTTAGGACTGGAAGCATTTCCAGACAGTTTCTGTCCTGACACAGACAAGACAGGAAGCAGAGATGCTGCTTGTGGACAGCGAAGGAAATCCAGTTACGAGAAGTTCTGCCTCCTCCTCCTACTACTGCTACTCAGCTGACTCGCTGCGTGCCAAGCGCTCTATCTGTGCCCAGCAGAGGACTCGACCACCCGCAGCGGGAGAAGGGGCCGCCCCCAGCAGGCTCTGGCAGCGCCGGGGGACACCCACCGTGATGAGGATGCAGTGGAGATCGCGCGGCTCCCCGGAGTCCTCGCTGGGCCCCACGATGGCCGCCAGCTTGGCCACGTCGGTCACCCTCACGATGTCGATGTCGTTCTCACAGCAAAAGGCTTGGATCAGAGTGAAGTGGATCTGCAGGGCGATGTCTCCCTCGTCCTCCTGGTCCGCGGCCAGCACACAGAACGCGACGTTGTCGGGGTCGCTGCAAGAGGGGAGCAGCCCGGTGAGTCCCGCGGTCGGCACCGGCCGCCCCGCAGCCCCGCCGGGCTGACTTACACACTCCCCCTGCCCCCGCCACCGTACTTACACATTCATCAGCTTGGCCGACTCGTAGACGCCGGCGGTGAGGCAGCCTCGGCGCTGCGCCGACACCAGCAGCTCGTGGAGGGCCGTGCCGGCGCCCTGCATCCTGCGGGCCGGGAGAAGACACAGAGTCAGCGCGGTGCCGCCGCCACAACCACCGTCGCCCCGAAACCGCCCGCTACCCGTTTTCCTCGGCTCCCCAGTGCCCACCCGCACGTACCAGTCGTGGCCCGCAGGCATGGGCTGCTGTCCGTGGATCTCCTCCAGAGTCATAGCAGTTAGTCCGCACAGCCCTGCGGCTCCCTCAGCTTCCGTCTGCGCACGCTGCGAGCGCTCTGAAGCAGCAGCCGGCAGGCGTGCGCTACTTATAGCCCTCGCGAGTGCCTCCCGGCCTCCCATTGGCCAGCGGGGGAGAAAGGGGCGGCTTTATTATGCTAACAGGGGAAATAAAACTTTTTTTTTTTTTTTTTTTAATAAACGAAAGAAACCATATTTGTTAATATAGTTTCCGCGAAAGGACAGCCCCTGTAGCCAGGGCGGAGGGCAGCTCTCTGGTGAAGGTCCTCGGGCTGCACTGGGCAGTCACCTGGTGATGCTCAGCAGTGCCCCGGCTGCAGCAAATCCCCCCGTGCCCTGGTCTGTAGGAACAGGAGCAGGGCCAGCTGCCGAGGCAGGGATAATCCCCCTCTGCTCAGCACTCACGGGACAGCAGCAATGCGGTCTGTCCGGTTCGGGCACCCCCAGCCGGGGAAACAGCCGATAAAGTGGAGCAAGTGCCGATGGGGGCACCGAGGGGTCCAAAGCTGCGGCGCTGTCCTGCTCTGCAGGCTGAGGGACCAGGGCCTCGGGAAGACAAAGCTGGGGCAGCAAACTGCAGTCCCCAAAACCTGTGGAATTATCATTTGGACGATAACACCAGGGTCTTCACAGCAATGCCTAGTGGGGAGGAAGGAGACAATGAGCCGAGTGTAAATCAAGAGGCTCAGATGGGATGTAAGAAAAATCCTTTCTCCCCGAGAACAGCCAAGCAGCGAAGCAGCCTCCCTGTCCAGGGAGGCTGTGTAGATTTCATCCTTGCAGGATTGCCCCGACGCAGACCTGTTCTCAGGTCACTGGTACTCCTTCTGCAGGCTGTACTGGCCTATGATCCCGGGAGGTGCAGTGGTGTGAGCAAACAGATTTTTATTTTTTTTCAGTCGGGCTTTATTAAAAATAATTGTAATTTGGACAGTGGTCATAATTAATTCAGAGTGAAACGAGTGTGATCGCTGAACTCGGATTTGAACCTGTTTGTAAGCAAACCAAGCAAGAAAAAAACACCACATTTTCCCGCTGTGAATGAACACAGCCTAAATGTTAAAAGGCAAATCACTTTTCACGTCCCTTCAGCGTCTGACTTGTTTAGGGTAAAGCTCACGGGTAGCACTTGTCTCCACCGAGTCACCGCTTCAGAGCAGCCCCAAGCGGTTTCACAGAGGTTGTGGAGAGCCACCTTGGGGTAACCTGTGCTACTGCGACCTGTCCGGACCGACTCCAGCGGGCTGCACAAGCAGACCTCTCTACCTTGTCACCCTTGCTGTTCACTAGCCTGCAGCCGCATCGTCCCCATCCGAATGTGTTGAAACGCGGGGATGTCCTTTCCAGTACTTCACTGGGCGTCCTGGGTGGAGCACGTCTTATCTGTGACTGTATATGCTATACTCTGCTCAGTTTCAGTCTCTTTGAGCAATACAGTTTCCAAAATGTCTCTCAAACTGAGCCACTTTAATGAGCAGCTGTGTTTCTACTTCCAGTTGTTTCTAGTTAGTGGCCTGGTGACACTACAGGTGACAGCATTCGACCTGGCACTTAGTGAGCTTCCATTTTAAACTAGTGACAACATAGGCATGATGTCTGCCAGATACATCCAGCCTCTCTAAGAACATTTCTCTGATATCTACAGAGCTGTCAGTGCTGGGGAGAAAACTCCTCGTTGTAAACACCAATTCCCAAGCCTCACAACCTTTTTTACCCTACTAGCATGCAAAGACATGGAAACCAAACCAGTGACCTGTCAGTCTGAATTTGCTAGAGAAGGGCATAAATTCTTAGTTTTCTTTCTCCAAAAAAGACATGAGAAGTTTCCAGAAAAATTATCTCCTGGCCTGTATTCAGGCAAGTGCAATTGTCTCCACTTTTTGGAATTAGCATAGCGTACATAACATGTACCATTCGTTCTCAAAAGATAAAAGCCCTTCATACATCTGCCTCTTTCTTTTTCCTGTTTTCTTTTTTTCTAAGTATATAAATGGGGATGAATGCAGAAGAATAGCTTGAATGGTAAGACACATTAAGTGGTATGTCTCTTAGAAATATTCAAGGGCCTATTTCTGATGAAATCGGTGGAAAATCCAGAACTGACTCACAGCTTTGAAAGATGCTGATATCAGCTATGACTTTGATGACTTTCTCAGTGCAGTAAAAGTGAAAGTTACTTGAGATGGATCCGAGTTAGTAAGCCAAAGTAACTCAGAGTGGAGAACAGTGTATATGTAATGGTAAAATATATATAATTGTCTAGATAATAAAGTGATGTATGGAACCTTACTAACACATTAATTCTTTGACATGCAAGCTTCCAGTTTCAGCTTAATGAAGCAGCACCCTGGAATTAGGGCTTCTTGACATCACACTTTTCAGTTTGCCCCATTATTCCCAGGTCTCCTAGCACAGACGATGCTGAAGGCCGTGAAGCATTCATCACTAGATACTTAATCCAGCTTATTTCAAACCGCAGTATTGACACCAGGCCTCTGACGCAGAAGAGGAGGTGTAGAAAGGAGAGCTGTGCAAGCCCAAGGCCCTGTCCCTGGTTCAAAGGCGTCAGCTTCCGCAGATGTGATACCTCTGATGCTTAATAAGCAAACTGAACTTTAGTGAAGGTCAGTCTCCACTGTTTGCTTTCTTGGTCTTTTCCTCCCGTGTTTTTAGTACATTTAACTGGTGGGCGCAGGCCTTTGGCGGATCAGCTCTCGAGTGCTCGAAATCACCCTGTAGCTCAAGGTGGAGACGGGGGCCGGCGGTGAGTATCACATAGCCACAGCACTCAGACGTCAGCGAGTGCATTCTGCCGTGGCTGCCGGCAGCCCTGTGTCAGGCCGCTGCCACCCGCCCGTGCGCCCCGGAGCACGGCAAGGCCGCCGGCAGACCCTTCCTCGAGCAGCCGCGGCCGCCCGGCGCTGCGCTGGCTGCCAGGCCTGCGCTGCCCTCTCGTGGCCGCCTGCCGCAGCGCTGCTGGTCCCGCGGCAGCCGCGCTCCGAGGCCACGGGCCCCTCCTGCTCCCGGGCCCGGAACGCTTAACGCGGAGACACAGGAAGAGGAAAAAAAAAATAATAAAAGCCACAAAAAAACCAAACAAGCAAAAAAAACACACACACAACGCCTCCCCCCCCTCCCCCTCCCCACAAACAGCCAACCAACCAACCAAAAAAGTAGACCTTGACATATCCTACATAAAGAAATCCCCTAACGTGTGTTACCTAATCCATGCTCAAGGGTAGGAAGGCTCTACAGAGGTGAGTGGACAGGCTCAGTCAGTGGGCCAAGGACCACTGCATGAGGCTCAATAAGGCAGAGTGCTGGGTTCTGCCCCTTAGTCCCAGCAAACCCACGCAGCACTACAGCCTGGGGAGAATTGGCTTCAGAGCTGCTCTGCAAAGGGACTTGGGGGTGCTGGTTGAGAGCCAGCTCAGTGCGAGCCACGGCGTGCCCAGGTGGCCAAGAAGGCCAGTGGCATCTTGCTTGGCCTGAACCAAGAGCAGTGTGGCAGCAGGACAAGGGACGTGATCATCCTCCTGTACTTGGCATTGCTGAGGCCACACCTCAAGTCCAGTTTTGGCCCCCTCTGACATCTCCAGGACACTGAGGTGCTGGAGCTTGTCCAGTTAAAGTCAACAAGGCTCATGGAAGGTCTAGCAAACACGTCTTATGAGGAATGGCTGAGAGAGTTGGGTTTGTTTAGTCATGAGAAGAGCAGACTCAGGGGAGACCTCATTGCTCTCTACAGCTCCCTGAAAGGAGGCTGTAGTGGGGTCGGGTTGGTCACTTCTGCTGTCCCTGTAGTGACAGGACCAGAGGAAATGGCCTTCAGCTGAGACAGGAGAACCAGATTAAATATTAGGGAAAAAAAAGTCACTGTTAGGGTGCTCAGGCATTGGAATAAGTTGCCCAGGGAGGTGGTGGAATCACCATCCCTGGAGATCCTTAGGAGGCACCTGGATCTGGTGCTAGATAATGTGGTTTAGTGGTTTGGAGTTACAGTAGTAGTGCTGGGTTGGTTGTTGTACTGGTTGATCTTAGAGGCCCCTTCCAACCTTGATGATTGCATGATTCTAAACCAGCCCCCCAATATAAAAAGTAAGAGACAGAATAAGGGGGAAATAATAGTATATGCAGTCCCAACAAAGGCAAGGAACCTGGCAGAATTTAACAGATAAAAGTGCAAAAGCATTGCACGCCTGTTTAGCTGATAATAAAAGTAAGTTCTGTCATTTTGCAGAGAAAATAACAGCCCGTCTCCAGCTGAAGTGCAGCAGTCACAGACATTACCTCTTGGCCTGAGTGGGAGGAGACTCAAACCTTCCACATCAGAAAAGGCTTGCAAGCCATGGTAACAGACACCCCAGCCATGGGGCTCCTACACTGCACTCCTCGTGTTCCCCTGGCTTGTGCTGCACACCCAGACTTTGCATCAGAAAGAGTCTCTTTACCAAGACAGATCAGTTCCTTCAGCTCAGATGGAGTACTCCCTCCTCAATGTCTTTCCAAATCCATCTCCCTCTCCCTTTCCAAATCCATCTCCTTCTCCCATTCCAGTCCTCCATCCAGTTCTCCTCTCTTGCAGACCTACTGTAATCACCCAGCAAGCTACTTTCTCCAGGTGCAGCGTCTCACAAAATAAAAACCAAATCAAAAACTTTTCTACTGAGCAGAAGTTTTAGGAGGCTCTACAAATGCCCTGGTTAAATTCAAGCTGATTTTTGTTTCCAGCAGATCAACAGGTCACCTACCTAATCCTCATATAATTTCTTTCTACTGAACCTGAAACAGATACTGCTGATCCCCACGTCTTGTAAACCAGGTAGCTTCCTCTGTACATAAACTTTATTCTGTGACACTTTTGCCGCAGAAGTGACACCAGCCAGGACCAAACATCCACAATCTGTAGGCAGCAGGGATGTTTAACTTACTGAGAAAGCAGTGAAGTAAGGCTTTTCATAGCTTCATCTTAAAAAACAACCAAAGCCAAAACAACAAAAACCCCCATCCAAAAAAAAAAAAAAAAAAAAAAAAAACCAAAGAAAAACAAAACAAAACCAACACCAAGCCAACCAACGGAAAAAACCCCCTGCATATCACAAGTCTTGGTTAATAAAAAAAG